ATCTGCATATTATCCTGTCAATAAAGAAGTTCTTTGGTTACTCTCCTACACAAATATCAAATATATTATTGCTGAAACTATTCAACTCAGACCATTCAAACTTTCACAACATCATTATAGAAACATGTTATATTTTAATTGTCATAATTTAACATCGAAAAATGGAATAGAAAAATTCCAATTGGTAACCAGTTGCTATGTTTTGATTTATTTCAACTTGCGATGACGTAATATGTTTATGTTACATCACAGATCATTCAGTAATGATAGAACTTGATAATATCAGTGGATCATTTCTAACTTATTTTAGAGAAACCGATGAATATGATACCGCAAACAGTACTTGTCCAGATTGTGAAGAAGATTGGTTCTTGGTAAAACCCATTGCTATCATTTATTTCATAACATATCAATATGTTCAATTCAGACTTTAAGGTAGATCAATGTTCAGTTCAAACTTTAAGGTAGATAGAAGTTAGTAAATCTCCCATTGGAATAGTTTCAACCTCCTGGTGGTTTGGAGTCTTACAACATAAGAGGTTAAATATAGAATGAATTAATGAGAATTTAATCTTTAAGATAATAAACACTATTAGCGTTGTCAAAACAATCACTCCAATTATAATTAATTTCCAATGTGAAAAAAAGTTCTCTCAATTTTACTTGGATGATATCTTGACAGGGATTTCATGGAATGCAGAGGATTTTTGTGTTCTTTCTCATTGCTCGATCTTCATGAGGCAATCCTGCATAGAATTCTTCGTCGTTAGATAAGAATTCCCTTAAGTTCATTGAAGCCTCATTGAAGATGGATTTCATTTCCACATGTTTTTCTAATGCCTCCCGTGTTCCATTTGATGATACAATAACATTGTCCACATAAAGATTTTGCTTTATTTCTAATGCTAATTCGTTATCATGATTTTTCAAATGGTAATTCAGGGTAGCGGATAGCATACCGATGAGAAGTTGCATTCTTATCCGGAATGTGGGAAGAATTTCAGCCGGTCAACGAATCTGAATGAACATATGAAGACTCATACTGGTGAGAAATCGCACTCTTGTCTGAAATGTGGGAAGAAATTCACCCAGAGAGCGGGTCTGTATCAACATGAGAAAATTCATACTGGTAAGCATAACGGGAACAGCATGAAAAAAACGACTGTTTGGATTCTTAAATTTATTAAAAGGACGACAAAAGGAAAATTATCATGGTTAAATTCGTTGTCGGCACAAGGACATCGACTGACAGCTGAAGATCATAAATTAGCTGAGTGGGTGATCATTAAATAAGCACAAACAGAAACGATTACCGAAGAAGAAGTAGAGAAATGGAACTTATATTACGACGAGGACAAATTATGGAAACCACAAAGTCGTCTAGAAAATTCCGAATTGGATGAACAAAGCAAATACCCAATTTATTTACCAAGACATAATGCAGCTATCGAGCTTTCAATACGGGAACAGCATGAGGCATTATATCATGCCGGAACCGCGCATACACTCTCAGAACTGAGACGTAAATTCTGGATACCAAAAGGCCGAACTGAAGTCAAGCGTATTATCAACAACTGCACCGGCTGCAAGCCGATGGTCAGCGAAACCATTTGCCCATCATGCCGGAAACAAAATCTGCCAGAAACACGAGTTAATCGATCAAGAGCCTTTGCAAACATTGGTTTGGATTATCTAGGTCCTCTTTCCATCAAAACCGAGAACGGAATATCCAGAAAATAGATTGCCTTATTCACATGCTTTACCACGAGAGCAATACATTTAGAAATAGCAGACAATTTATCTGCGGAAACTTTCCTCTACGTATTAAGAAGATTAATATCCCGACGGGGATATCCAGAGCGAGTCTTAAGTGATAACGCGGTTTTGATGTCATTTCTAATTAGTCTTTAAAACTATAAAGGGACAGCATACAGAACTAATGGAATTCTTGGCGAAAAAGATGATCTGGGAGAACATAACTCCAAGACTACCCTGAAGTGGAAAAAATCTATGAACGATTGATTGCAGTGACAAAAAGAACTATGAGAAAGACCATCGGAAGGAAGCTACTATGGGAAAAGGAATTCATAATTTTAATTGTGGAGATAGAAGATATCTTAAACACTAAACAATTGACGTAAGCCAATTTTGACGATAGTAAGGTAATAATACCCGTCCAACTGATTTCATCCAACCCAATGCTTCCTTAGTTATACCGACAACTAATGACAATCAGGACGGATACATGCCAGGAACACTGAAGGGGAGGGAACGACTAATTAAATACTGGACCGCTACACTCAAGGTACTCGATACATTTTGGGGAATTATTGAAAACAGAATACTTGACAAATCCCAGGGAACGAACNCAGAAAAAAGCACA